AAATAATTCAATTTGATTAGTCAAAAAATTATTCTCTTCTCTTTCCTCCCCTTTCCTCAAACCAAATATACTCAAAATTAATCCTCAATTTTTTACAATTAAATGAAGGGTGATTTGGGGATAACAATATTTCAAATACCATATAAGCATCTGTAAACAAAAACTTGGCCATGTCGGAAACTGAAGGTCACGTGGGACCACAAACTGAGTGGGTATGAGTCAAATTGAAAGTTAAGGGGGTGATTTCCCCGAGGAAAAATACAGTGCCTGATTTTTTTCAAACGCAATAAGTATAAGGGTGAGTTTGAATTTTTGCCAATTTATGATTACCAAATGGCAATAATGGCATAAATAAATCCTGATTTACTACCTATTTTGTTGGTAAAATTGTTGAATGTGCCTAGTTATTATTATTATTATTATTTTGTTTTTTTTTTTTTCTGGGAACATAGAATGTGCCTCCTATTGCAATTCCGAATTTGCCACATTAACCCGAGAGTAATAAGGGCGTCGACAGTAATGATAATAAATAAAAAAATTAATTATTTAAATAATATGTAAAATTATATAAAAAATATCTTTAAATCATCGTTTAATTTCATAGGTCTCATTAATGAAATCCATTTGACCCAACAACATGCATATTCACATAACTTTTTATAATAAAATAAAAATATTTAATTATTGAAAACTTTTCAAATGTGATAATTTTGATTGATATGAAAAAAAACGAAATTCTATCCTTAATTACTAAATTTTTGAAAGGATGCATCTCATGTCTTATTTTTCATGATTTCAAAGAATTCATAACTTAGTTGATTGGAGGATTTGCTCTCACCTTTGTTGGTTAAGATTTGATTATTTGAGATGTCAATAAAGAGTTAATTTTTAGTTCTATTTTTAGTGTCAAACTTAATTGTGTGTCTTCAATTACATAAAGAAAGATTTAGTTTTAAAGATAACTTTGATTGCAAAAATATACAAAAAATTTCTCATGATTTCAAGGGCAATATTAAGGGAGTTTGGTGCCCATACATTTTATTTTATTTTTTTTAAACAAAAAAATGATGGAAAAGTAAAATTTTATCAAATAATTGATAGAGTGGAATTTCCCGTCAAATAAATGCAAGCACTGAGACTTGTGACGATCCATTATGCACGAAGGCGCGGTTTCGCCCATACATTTTATTTGGTGGCAATGTCCATGCCTAATAATAAATAAATATGCTCCCCAAAACTTTGCAAAAACTATCGGTGATTGTCGACTGTGGATTGAGTTAGGTAAGCCTGGTGGTGGCTGAAGTCGCTGCTGTCCCGTTATCCTCTGGCATTTCGTCGAACATCTTCTGAGCTCACATCTTCTTAGTTCTTCATTGTCCAAATCCAAATCAAATCCTTAACGTCACCCCTTCGGATTCAAAACATCCCGATTGGTTAATGCAGTGATCCTTGCGGACTGTTCTTAGGGATTCTGGTGTGGGATTTTCTGTTTGGCTTGCGAGAAAGTGATGGAGATTCAGTTTCCGGTGGAGTTAGAGAAGGAATTAGAGCGAGAAGTGTCTCCTCTGGTGTCGGCGATGGGAATGGGGAAAGGTGTTGGCCCTCGTGGATCGGAGATTCCGAGCCCTGAGTTAGCCCAGCTGATCGTTTCCCATCTCTGCTTCCGCCACAACCATCCTTCCCTCTGGAAGTTTCTCCACAGTGCTCTGTCTTCTCGCCTCCTCTCTCCCATCCATGTCCTCGCGTTGCTCACTTCCAGGTTTCCACATTTCCCTCCTTCATTTTTCGAATTTTATCAGGCAGTTCCACAATTCAACTGAAGAAGCTTTATTCATATGAAAAGATGCTGAATTTCATGATTTATTATCAATAGCAATTACTTTTTCTTTAGCTTAGAGTATTCAATTTGTGGTTTTTGTTCTTTTAGAGTGATTCCTCAACGATGCTCTCAACCAGAAGCATACAGGCTATATCTCGAGCTTCTTAGCAGATATGCATTATCATTTGATCTGTCTATGCCAGATACTTCTAAACTGAAGTAAGTAACTCATCAGTTGTCTTTCTGGCCTTCATAATCTACGTAACTATGAGTGTACTGAGTGTCTTTACTTGTTTATTTTGAATTCTTGATGTCAATGCATATAGCATTTGTGGGTTTCAAGAGGTAGTAGTGATTGATCATACTAAAATCTGGCTTTCTTGGGCTGCTGTTCTGCAGGATATTAGAATCTGTAGATGCTGAATTACAGCTTTCTCAGACTTATGGGGCTCCAGTGAGGGATCTTGGGCATGCATTTGTTTTGTTCTTTTTCAACATTGTCACCTGCTTAATTGACAGTTCATTGGATGATTGGGGATTGCAAATAACATCTTTAGATAAGCCAGGTGGAGCAGTTGCAAGCATGGACCATCAGCACATGGACATAGACTCCTATGGCAGTTATCAAATTGAAAGGAATGAACACCATCAGCAGATGAGGCAGAAGAATTCTTTTATGGCTATAGAGGTTCTAGAAAGACTAACTGAAAGCACAAAAGCAATTGTTCTACTTAGGCTTGTTTATCTGAACATGTATGCACAATTCCTCATCATTCACTTTGCCTCTAATCTCCACTCACTCGAAGTTTTCATAATGCTCCTGCCATGCGATTTTTGTTTTGCTAAAATGAATTTGTTGCTTTTCTTACATTACCTGGAGGGTGCATTTTGTTTGTTATTTCTATTGCATTACAATTTACTGCTGTTCTTTTCTTGGCCTTTTTAATTGGTAGTATTCTTTGGCCATTTGATGTGTATCTAAAATATCTTTAAACATTAATAAGGGTTGGCATCTAAATATATGCTAGTGGCTCTGTGTGGGCTTTTTATTTAATTAATCAGTTAATATGGTCATTTATTTAATTAAGCAATTGGATTAAGATTGGCTGCCTGAATGTGTTGGCCTTTAGGCTTTGCACTATTTGTATCTCTAGTGGAAGCTTATTTAATAATAGGTATTGATTGTTAGAACAACTAACATGAGAATATTTTGTTTCAATTTTTGCTATTAAAGTTTATATAGCTTTGAAGAAATACTGCATCCAGAATTGATTAATAACTGATGCTTTAACATGAGAATAGTTTGCTTTGTGAATCTTATATTTTCTTATGAAGCAAAACATATTGACGTCAAACCAGACAGGTTTGATCAAATAGCTATGGATTGTTTGTGCATCTAACTAAATGGTTTAAGTAGATAACACATATTTGTTCATGCCATTAAGGTCAGAATATTTATCATAATTCTTTCTGAGTTTTCTTGTTATGGTATTTGCTTACCTATTAGGATTCTAGTTGTTCCTTGTACTTTATGTTGATATTTAAGTGTCAAATATTAGATAGTTGAAACATATCTATCATTTTTTTAGGAAAAGGCAAAGAAACAGATCTATCATTTTTCATTATATTAGACATTTTTAACAGAACTATTATTTTCCATTTCTGGTTTCAATGTCCTTTCTTTATAGGCCTGAAAAGTTTGATGGTCTCATTCAAAGACTGCAGTTCCTTGAAGCAGATAAGTTGATATTCTCAAACCTTAAATCTGCAAACCAGCTTTTGGAAAGATTGTCTGCCAATGTCAAGAAAGTTCCATCTTTTAAATACCAGTTAAAGAACCAGCAGCTTATCAGAATGCTGGTTAATGTTAGATCAAATAATCCAGTCTCTTGCTGCAATTTTGGTTCCAGTTCATCAAGCTGTTGGGTGCCTTTTGATATTTTCATGGAGAATGCAATGGATGGGAAGCAACTTCTCATCAAATCAGCTATTGTTATTCTGACAGGTAAACTGTCTCTTGAAACTTGCTGAGGTTATGAAATTCTTTTTCTTCTTATTTATTTAATTGGTTAGTTTTTAATTGCATGCAAGTAAGACTTTAATAGGCGTCATTTCTTATTTTTGTTTTTCCTCTCCAGAATGTGAATAGAAAGTTAGTATGCTCAGGAATGGATTTATTTGATGTCATAATTGCAGAAAAAATTTACACTCTCAAAGTGTATAACCAGGCAAGCTGGCAAGAAACCTTCCTAGCACTTTGGCTTTCAGCCCTTCGGCTTGTTCAGAGAGTTGAGATATTCCACTCTAACATTTTCTGTTGCAAATAAAGGCATAAGCATATCTTATTTCATTTTTTGTTGCTTCCTTCGTTGCAGGAACGTGATCCTCCAGAAGGTCCTATTCCTCATTTAGAAGCTCGTCTTTGTGTCCTTTTGTCTATTGTGCCCTTAGCAATTGCAAATGTGTTGGAGGATGAAGCCAAGTTGCATCCTTCTGTTCAGGAATCTGGGTATAATGGAATGGATGGGAAAGGATATGGTGAAAGAAATCTTGCACTTATTTCCTCTCTCCAGCTGCTTGGAAACTTTTCTGGCCTCTTATGCCCTCCAGCATCTATTACTACAGCAGCTAACCGTGCTGCTGCAAAGGCAGCAAGTTTCATTTCCATTTCCAAGAATGGCAAAGATGGTTTAGGCAGTGGCACCCCTACTGATAGTTTCTTAGATAATGGTATTTCAAATGCTCAGATTTACATTAATTCTCCCCACTGATTAATTTTTTGGTGGAGTTGGTTCATCATGATGTTTATCCATTAAATTTTTTCTTTTCTTCTTGTTATAATCAGTGCTTCATTTAATGCTCTTAGGTGGCAACATGAGGCACCTCATTGTGGAAGCTTGTATTTCAAGAAATTTGATCGACACATCAGCATATTTTTGGCCTGGTTATCTGTCTTCTTCAGTTGTCTCTCTATCTGATATAACACCATCCCAGAAATCTCCTTGGTCCACATTTATGGAAGGAGCTCCTTTGACTGATTCTCTTGCAGATTTGCTTTTCACAACTCCTGCTTCAAGGTACAAGAAGTTTTTAATTTAGTGTGTAATTGGTAACATATTGATTTCATTTTCTCTATGATTTTCTTGTTCAAGTTTAGCGGAGATAGAGAGGTTATATCATATTGCGCTGAATGGGTCAGCAGACGAGAGGCCAATAGCTGCAAAGATTCTATGTGGGGCATCACTCAGTCGTGGATGGAATATTCAGGTAGCAGAACCCTACTGTGGTATCAATGTTAAAGTTGGATGTGGCTTAAGCCATTATCACAAAATCATGTTTTCATTAATATGATTAAGAAAGCTGGCTCTACTTTTTCAGTTCTCTTTGTGGCTAAAAAAATGGGCAGAGATGACATTTGAGCTTTATTGATTTGTTATGTGACAGGCACTTATAGTTTTAGTACTCAGTTACCTTCATTCCATTGGAGACTGGATCGTATGGAATTCATGGCACAAATTAAAAGAAACTTTGCAATTGGTCCTAGTTTCTGTTTAGTCTACATGCATGGACCTAAAACTTTATGCTTGGACTGTGTGCATTTAAAGCTTGAGGACATGATTTACCACCACAACTCCTGTTTTCTTTCTCCCCATTCTTGCACTGAAGAGCAAATTCTATTTGCTCTTATTGAGAATATTATGTTTGTTTGGCAGGAACATGTGGTGAACTTTGTTGTCAAACTTCTTTCCCCTCTTGTTCCTCCTGGCCATATTGGACCAAGGAGTCACTTGATTGATCATATGCGAATGCTAAGTGCTATTCTTTTTGGTGCTTCCTCCGTTGATACTGTACATATTCTTTCTTTGCATGGTGTGGTAAGTGAAATATTCTTCCTCTTCTTCTTCTTTTGTGTTGAACGTTTTTAAAATTACTTGGATCTTTTTTATATGTATTCCCTTCTGGTTTTTCACCCCTCAAGATGCCCATGATAAAATGTTTTCAAACAGCAGTTTGCATCTAGATGTCTGTTGGTTGAAATTGTTTCTTCTTGCTTGTTTTCAGCAGTATCTCGTAGGTTGGCTTAGATTTGGTGTTCATGATCATATTATTAAACTTAGTTCGGTTAGTAGATGTTGTCAATTTTTATGTTAGGGGTTCACTTTTTCTCCCAAACACTTGTGTGGTTTTAGACAAGATTCATATATCAATTGAGACTTTAACAAGATTATTGTTATGTATCAATTATGAAAAAATTTTCTTATAGTTTCATGATTGATTAAATTTTGAGGTTCATGCTCTGTTATGCAGATAATTTTGTAATGACAGAAATAACTTCATTGGATTTGGTATGGTTTTATGTGAATATCAACACTGTTGTGAACTTCCATGGCAGTTCATTGTCTAAATTTCCTTTCTCAAGTCTTGTTTTGAATCTTTTGATTATCTACCATGGGTTATTTTGTTCATAAAATTTTCATGTCATAGAAATTGCATCATATGGACATTATGGTTGCTTAAAGGAAACTTTAGCTTTCTGGTTGTTGACTAGAAAGATTGTAGAAAATAAAATAGAATACGTTAATGTGATGGATAGAGTTATATCTTCATTAATCTGGCATATTCATTCTGGTGGACTTCATGCTTGTCCATAGACTTGTGAGTGAAATCTATGAACCATCATAAAAGATTTTAGCAGAGCCAACATTTTCAAAGTTGTTACCAGGAGAGTATTCTTTGGCAGAACTTGGGAGTTGGGATCTAGCTCAAAATGAAGCCTATTATTTAATTCTTTGTATGAACTCATACCAGGTCTGAATCAATTTGATGGTTGGTCCTTCTACTATTCTCTATGGCTCTACATTTGGTGCAGCATATGTTTTTTAAACTTGTCTTTCCCTTTAGACCTTTTATCTTTTAATAAATGGAAATAAATTATTGTGTGTTTCAAATACTTTCATACTGATGGATTCAAAGTTTACTAATACAGATCCCTGAAGTTGCAGCTTCTTTAATGCCTCTGTGTGAGACCTTTGGTTCTCTTACACCTACATCTGGTAACAAATCAAAGACAGGCGATGAACCATCAATTTACATGGTTTTTTCTTTAGCATTTCTCTTTCTTCTGCGTCTGTGGAAATTCTATAGACCCCCAATCGAGCAATTTCCTGCAGGAGGAATGGGACCTGAGCTAACTTTGGAATATCTTTTGCTGCTCCGTAATAGCCGCATTGTAAACCAAAATGCTTGTGCACAAGATGTAAAGGATGGCAGTATGGAACAACTTCGATTTGCATCAGATAAGCCTGTATACATTGATTATTATCCAAAATTACGAGCTTGGTATTGTCAAAATGGATCATGTATAGCTTCAACACTGCCTGGCCTTTGTAGTGGAAACCCTGTTCACCAAGTTGCTAACAAGATTTTAAGTATGATTTACTTGAAAATGACCAAATCTGTAGCCTCATCTTGTAATTCTTCGACACCATCTGGTAATTCTTCAACCCCATCAAGCAGCAACGTTTGTGGGTCCCCTGTGAATGGTGGTGAAGATGCTTGCCAAACACATATGCTCTCTGCTTGGGAGGTGTTAGAAGCCGTTCCCTTTGTCCTTGAGGCAATATTAACTGCTTGTGACCATGGAACGCTTTCCTCTAGGGATCTGATAACAGGTTAGTAGAAGACTAGTTTTCTTTCTCTTTTGTTGAAATAATATCCTCTTCTTTTTCTTATTTTCTTGTGTGGGGGGCGGGGGTGTTGGGTGGGGGTTTTTTCATGGTTAATTGCTCAATATACCTTTCTGGTAGAAACCTTTTTTCCAAATATGACCAATGAAGTAGTCATTCTTTGTCAGCTCATGTTTCTTTTACTGGCTTCACACTACTCAATTACTAATCACATCTTGAATGTTCACAGGCCTAAGGGATCTTATCGATTTCTTGCCTGCCTCTCTTGCGGTGATTACTAGCTACCTTTCTGCAGAAATCACTCGTGGTCTTTGGAAACCAGTTCCAATGAATGGAACAGATTGGCCTAGTCCAGCAGCAACTCTTTTGTCTGTTGAATCTGAAATGAAAGAATTACTTGCTTCTGTTGGTGTTCATGTACCGATCTGGTCCTCTGGTATTCTGAGAATCCTCATCTTGCAACTACATATGTTGTCATTTGTCTTTCTAGAGACATACGTACTTTTCATTTACATTTAATTAGAATTGGAGCTAAGTAGATAATTATTTGTTTAAAGAGAAATAGCACATATAAGCACTCCAACTTTCAAAAATTTACTACTAGGATTCAAAGTTTTTTTGTTCCTAATAGAGGATCTCAACTTTTTAGTTTTCCTATTAAAGGATTCAAACTCACCAATTTTTCTATACATGGCTTTTTTGATAGAATATTGACATGTTCTTAATTTCGTCAAAGTGGTCCACATTTGGTGCTGATTTCTGAAAAAAAAAACTGCTTTGCTATCAATGAACTGGACAAAATAAAAAATGCTGAAAAAAGGAAAATTTGCAGCCAACGTGGAACCACAATGGACTGAATAAAGTCTCGATTTTGTTCATGTCATTGATGGAAAAGCAGTTTTTTTGACAAGTACTTAATGTTGACCACCTTAACAAAATTAAGAAGTCCACATTAATATTCCATCAAACAAAGCCTTGTACCGTAAAATTGTTGTGTTTTGATTCCTTGAATGGGAAAACTGAAAAGTTGAGATCCTCTTTAGGAATCAAAAAGTTTCAGATCCTTGATTAGTAAACTTTCAAAAGTTGGAGTCCTTATTAGTATTATTTCTCCTTGTTTAAATGACAATGATTTTTTTAAAAAAGAAAAAGACAATAAAAAATTTGACTTTATCAGTACCTTTTTGAATTGCCAAAATTTTATCACAATGACATTGCCTTAGGTCCTAGAAAAATAATGCTCAAGTATTGAAGTATCGTAGGAGGAAGAATATTACCATGACTTCAATCAAAGATCAAGTACTTTCTTTTGCTTGACATAAACTATTGTCATTTACTTGACACAGTCTCCTTATTACAGACAATCTTACTTACCTTTGGATATAGCTAGTTCAAAATAATATTACTGTTATTTCATAAACTGCATTAGGTGATTGATATGATTTGTCACAATTTATAACGGCACAAAAGAGATCATAGAAAGCAGAGTCTTTTCTTCCATATTTTCTTTAGAAAGAGAATGTCTTTCTAGTTTCTTCAAGCTTGTATTTTGGGCCCTCATGCTAGAATCGAGTTTTTGTTTTGTCAAATGAATGTGATTTCATTGTAACTCTTTAAGTGCGTGCTAACAACTTCTGTAATGTCTCTGTTCCTGAAGACATGTTAACAATTTTCTGCAGGGGCTTCTCCTCTAATGCTTCCTTTGCCAGTCGCAGCTTTTGTCAGTCTAACTATTACTTTCAAACTTACCAAGAACCTGGAGTACATCCATGCTGTTGTTGGTCCAGCACTGGAGAATTGTGCATCAGCTTGCGCTTGGCCAACAATAATTGGCTCTCTTTGGGCTCAGAAGGTTCGGCGCTGGCACAACTTCATAGTTGTATCATGTTCTCGCTCAGTGTTTGGGCAAAGTAAAGAAGCTGTCGTCCAAATATTGAGGAGCTGCTTCACCTCATACCTTGGATCTCTTCATAATTCAAATTCTTTGTCAACCAAGCAAAATGGTATTGATGGTTTACTGGGCAACATAATTGCAACTCCTCCTGGTGTTTGTCCTTTCATAGCACCAGGAATCTTTTACCTTCGCTCCTGTAGGTTGATGCCAGATATCCGGCATGTGAATGATATGATTGTTGAGCTAGTAACAGAATATGCTCGAGAATCAGCTGCGAGATGGGCAAGCTCAGACACCCCTCGTGTGCAATCTAGTCAAGCATCACTGTCCCTTGCTGCTGTCAGGGCAAAGGAGGTGGCCACACTAGGTGCTAGCCTTCTATGTGTGTCAGGTGGGTTTCTGCTGGTCCAAGAACTGTACCGGGAGACCATACCTACCTGGTTTCTCTCCTTAAAGGAAGAGAAACCCGGCAAGGTGAGTGCTTTGGCACGTATAATTGAGGGATATGCAATGGCATATATGTTAGTGCTTTCAGGGTCATTTGTATGGGGTGTTGGGGACAAATCACGTTTACATTCGTTCTCTAGACGTGGCCGAATTATTGGGATCCACATGAACTTCCTGGCAAGAGTTTTGGAAGGGAACATTTTGCTCTGCTGCGACCCACTTACATGGAAGGCTTATGTCTGTTGTTTAGTAAGTTTAGTAGTGAGCTGTGCTCCAGCATGGATTCAAGAAGTGAAACCAGAGACATTACAGACATTGGCAAGTGGGTTGAGAGGATGGCATGAATGTGAGCTTGCTTTCTCTCTCCTCGAAAGAGGTGGGATTTCTACAATAGGATTTGTTGCTGAACTGATTGATATGATTAACTGAGACGACTACAAACCTGCTATTTCATCTTTGATCAGAAGAGTTAGTGCATTCTAAATGCAAATTTAATGCATAGATTTCTTCAGTTTTTTGGTATATCAGAAAGTCAATTGCAAGATTTAAAAGGTTGACATTGACTTAAAATTAAAATTTTCAAGTTGCTTAACATTAAAGTTCGAAAAATGTTACTAGGTATCAATGGGGGTTGAGCTTGCGTCTTTTTACTTAATTATTATTATTGTTATTATTATTATTATTATTATTATTCTTATTATTTGCTTTGCTTTAATTTTCGAAGTCTTGAGTACTTGAAAGGAAAATAAATTTGGTCAAATTCTCCATTTTTAGCATTTATATTATTATTTTTTACCGTTAATATCTTTTAAAATTTTGTCTCTTAATTAACACCTTTTAAAAATAAATAAATAAATAAAACCAGAACCAACTTAGAAGTCACAAGCAGAGCATATGCCCGTTACCATCCGTTAACACCTCATTGCGTGGCATGATTTTGCTGATTTTGGCCATTATGTGGACAAACGTTATTGACAGTTGCAACCATTTTAATGACGTGGATAACTTCTTTTTTTTTTTTATGATGCAGCATCCAACACGGTAACCGGACCAATAAATCTTAACTCCAAACCTAAAATGACTCAATTCAATAAATTTAGAATTTGATATGACTTAATTTAAATTCACCCTATCAAATTTATTTGTTAAGTCTAATTTTATTTGATATAACTTCTAATTAATAAAACTTTCTTTCATACTTTTTAAAAAGAAAAAATTTCTCCCAAACTCTTTTATTGAATTTACTTGATAACTTTCATATCAATTTTTTTATATTAATTTCTTACTAACTATATAGAGTTAATAATTTAACAAAATTCTAATAATACTTCATTATGAAATGAGTTTGTTTAAGGACACATTAAGTCACCTCTTTACATTTAATCTCTATAGAAAATCACAAAGGTTGACCTTAAATCTATCACCAATGCCACATTCATTCTTTTAATTGGATAATTAATAAATTAATAAATTTTTAATATAAATTAATTGTGAAAAGATACAATTAGTATACCCTCCAGGGCATTGATTAAAAATACCCATATAAAATTTATCAACTTTTCATCCAATATTTTCTACATATATTTTAATTTTAAATTATACAATAAAAAATAATTCTTTTTTTTTATTCTACTATATTTTATCCATATGCTATATGTCTCAAATTTAAAATTTTTTACTTTTATTAAAAAAAATTACTATTAAATTATTCACTATATACAATATTTTTAATAAAAACTTTTTTAATTAAATTAGCTTCTAACCCAATAAGCCCTTAATGTTGTACGTTTTATCATTTAGTTTATTATTAACGAAGGGTAATTAATACCAACAATCTGTTGGTTTGAGTGGAAGAAGTTCGGTTCCCTTAATTAAGATCTCGAGTTTGAATTTTGTAAATGGAGAAATAGTGTTGAAAAAGTTTTTCTCTAATAAAGTCTGACGCGATTCTATTTCGAATTAATTGAAATTCAATATAATTACTGAATATCGAGAGATTAATAAAAAAAAAAAAAAAGATAATTAATCATGTTTCTGACGGAAAATAGAGAAAAAAGAGCTCTCTCTCTCTCATTTAGTAAAAGTCAGAATACAATTTTTTTAAGATTTTTTAGTTGAGAGTATGATTTTCTTTTTTCATAACTAATCAAGATTATTATCTTTTAAACAATTTTAATTAAAAATATAATTTTTACCATTTTACTAATGAAAGATTAAACAAATGTACCTGTTCACGTAACTAACGGATTTCACTCAATCCTTATTCTATTTTTACTTTTTGGATATTTCTAATTTGTACTTTAGTGTATTAAATATATATTTTTTATCATAAATATACATTAAAAAATATAAAAATTGATATTAATTTTAGTATTAAATGAATTTAATTAAATAATTAATAAATTAAAAGTTAACTTTTATAATTTTAATATAAATTTATGATAAAAAATATATTTAATACATTTTTAATTTACAACTTTAAGATATAGGTTAAACAAATCCTTATTTTTTTCAAATGGTGGCGCCTATGTCATTGTCATCACAAATATCCACTTAAACCATAATTAATAAAATTGTAAAAGTTGTGTCTTTAATTAAAAACTTTTAACCTTAATTAATTACCAAAAAAGCTCATACTCTCAATTAAAAAATTTTTAGAAATTATTTCCTTATTTTACTAAATCTCCTCTCTCTCTCCTTTTAATTTCTCATCTTTGTTAAGAAACCTTCAGAACTTAGAGTCATTTACTCCTATTATAAAAGTAAATACGTTTAGAAAGATGGATAAGCGGCTATGCGGCTCGAAATTATTAACGATTGAAGTAGTTCTAGTAATTAATAGTCTTTGTAAAAGCAAAAATTCTCGCTTTCAATTACATAATGCAAAAGTAAAATACATTGAAAAAACAGTTAAAATTATTTATTATTATATAACTCAAAATAAAAATAAATAAATAAACCATGTGGAGAAACTTTAAAATTTTATTTAATTTTTGATCCTTAACTTTTTTATATATTTTTCTTTTTGTTTTTCAACTATGCAAATGCACTATTTTAACTCTTCCCACACTTCGTTTGATATGGTGGTTTGGAGGTAACAACTAGTCGTTTTTATTCAGATCACTAAGAATAAGTGTTTAATAATTTATTTATTTTAAAATCACTATAAATTAAGTATTTGGTAAAACATTTTATTTAGCTGTTTAAAATTACTAGATAGCAGCTAGGATCCAAACATTAGCAGATTAAAAAAACTATCAAAAATAACTTTTTATATTAAACTGCTACCAAATTAGGATTTTTTTAATTTTATTGATAAATTTATCTATCTTAATTTTTTTAATTTTTTACTACAATTTTTAATCAGTTCTTACTTAATTAGTTTCAATTTTAATTTTTTCTTTAATAATATTAAGTGATTATTATATTAGCTTAATAAATAAAATTTGTTAATTAGATGAAAAGATTAAATTTTTTCTATT